TAAACAAAATAAGACAGGGGAAAGAAATAGAGATGAGGCCAGGCGTGGTAGCTCATGCCTGTAATCCCAGCACTTTGAAAGGCTGAGGCAGATAGATCATGAGGTCAGGAGTTCGAGACCAACCTGGCCAACATAGTGAAAAACCGATCTCTACTAAAGTTACAAAAACTTAGCCAGGCAAGGTGGCAGACACCTGTAATTCCAGCTACTTGGGAGGCTGAGGCAGGAGAATCGCTTGAACCTGGGAGGCAGAGGTTGCAGTGAACTGAGATCACACCATTGCACTCCAGCCTGGGCAACAGGGCGAGACTCTTTCTCAAAAAAAAAAAAAAGAAAGAAAGAAAGAAAGAAAGAAAGAGAGTTGAGGTGAAACAGGGAGACAATTTTACATTGCAGCGTTAGGAAAGTCAGCTCCTAGAGGATCTTGGCTTGAATGTCACTCTCCACATCCTGTGTTCCATGTTCCCTGACCACCAACTGGACACAGGGTCCCTGCCTCCTACCAGCTGCTGTGGTATTCTGCATGTTACTCATTCATTGGTTTAATTATTTTAGTCTTTGTCTCTCCACCAGACTACAGGAAACTCCTTGAGGTCACGGGCATTGTCTGTCTGTCTTGGCTCATAAGCCAAATATCCTCATTGCCTAGTAAGCGCCCGGCATAGAGCAGATATTCACAAAATATACGTTAACTTTTTTTTTTTTCTGGACCACAGCACATGGAGCATTCCACCCACCCTGGTTTCATAATATATTATGTGTCAGGCCGCCACAGTGCCTCACGCTTGGAATCCTAGTACTTTGGGAGGCCAAGATGGAGTCAGGAGTTCGAGCCCAGCCTGGCCAATGTGGTGAAACCCCGTCTCTACTAAAAATACAAAAATTAGCCAGGTGTGGTGGCAGGCACCTATAATTCCAGCTACTCAGGAGGCTGATTCAGGAGAATTTCTTGAACCCAAGAGGCAGAGGTTGCAGTGAGCCAAGACCATGCCACTGCACCCCAGAGTGAGACTCTGTCTCAAAAACAAGCAAAAAACAACAAACAAACAAAAAACACATTATATGTCAGATCATTTTCCTAGGTCAATGAATGGCCTTTGAAAATATTATTTGAAGCTTCACAATGTTCCATCATGTTAATATACCTCAATTTATTTTGCCATTTTCCATGGTTGGACATTTAGCCCAACCTCAATGGGAAATGGAGGGCAGACATCTCTGGCAAGTGTCTGCATATGTGGTTGAAACAAGGGTCATTTAGCTTGATATGCAGATAAGGGATCACTTGATCCAGCACACCCACCGCCAGGAAGCAGCCTCAGACTACATCCTTGGGAGGCAGGAAGTCACAGATGGCACAGCAAAGATGCACGGAAGGCCTCCACATGACTGTCTAAGGGAGCACTTTCTCCCTTTGTTCATTTACAAAACTTACTGTTGTTTGCATCGTGCTCAGATCTGTACTTGGTACCATTTGGGTAAAAAACGGGTGAGGAACATCATTTTCCTTCATTACAGGATGCTGAATCACAGGTGTCATTTGGGCTCTGGGTAGGAATTCAGGTCAGAGCCCTCAACTACCACCACCCACGTGGGGTCTTGGCCTTTGCCAGTGATGATCTCCTTGATACAGCATCTATCAGACATTTCTCCCTGCCTTTCTAAATCAACCACCCTCTCGCTGTGCCCCTTCTGCATTTAGGTCTTATCTCTGGGAGAGTGTTACTCACCTGTGCTCCAGCAATTTGGATTTTGAGCTCCTTGAGCTGAGAGAGGGACCACGGGTGGGGCCTCCTTGCACAGAAGTAGCATATCAGGCTTTGCCATCAGAAAGGTGTGGCTTCCTCTCCCAGAACTGAGCAGGCAACTGAACTTCAATGAACCTCAATTTCTCCATCTGAATAATGGGGATGGTGATATTCCCTACCATAGCATTGGACGTCAATGAGGTCATCTGTGCCAAGAGCTTAATACAGGCACAGAAGAGCACTCAATGACTCTTGACTGTTATTTCACACCCAGCACCTAACCCCTTCCCTGGGACAAAGTCAAGGCTCAATGAAGGTTTCATGGATCAGTGAACAGACAAATGAACAAGTGAATGAGTAGGTTCAGTAATGGCAGGCCGCGTCTCACTCTACAACTGTTGGTTACAGTCTGACACGGAGTGGCCATGACACTCCACAGCGCCAAGTACTTTGTTTGCCTTGGCTGGCTTTTTTTCCCATTGAACTGACGGTTTGTTTGGGTCTCCTGGAAACAGTCTGGCAGTCTGTGAGCTCCAGGGCTTCCTGAGCCTGTCAGTCAGATTGCTCAATTTCTAGACTGAGATGCTCTTCAAAAACGCTACCTTCCACCCCCTCAGGCCAACAGGCCAACAAGAGATGGGGAGAATTTTAAGAAAATCGCAGAGTGGGGCCACGGCACTCTCCTGCCTCATCTTTGACTACTGGTCTGGTTTTCGCTTAGGGAGCAGTCATGAAAGAGGTTAGATGTGGGGAGCAGTTTTATGTCCTGGAAGTTCTAGGACCACTCTGAGTCCATCAAAGCCTCAAGCTGAACTTGGGTCCCCAGTGCTGTCAAAGAGGGACCAGGCACGTGTGGACCCAGGCATCCAGCTTCTTAGAGCAGCAGTGACCCAGGCAACGTTCTAATGACCCAGGAGGTTACCAAAGGACTGAACTGCACCAAGACATCCCATGACATTGCCTGAGAGGCAGAAGTGCATAGGGCTAAGTCAGTGCAGGGGTTCCACAGTCAGCGGTATATAGGTTCAGACCCTCTGGCACTTACTAGCTGTGTAACTTCCGGCAAATTAGCAACATCCTTGAGCTTTCACTTGCTTATCAGTAAAATGAGAATAATGATAAGCCCTTCCACACAGCGCTGCAAAGGTTCAATAAGAATGCAAAAGGCAGCCCGGCGCGGTGGCTCACGCCTGCAATCCCAGCACTTTAGGAGGCCGAGGCGGGCGGATCACGAGGTGAGGAGTTCGAGACCAGCCTGACCAACATGGTGAAACCCCATCTCTACTAAAAATACCAAAATTAGCTGGGCATGGTGGTGCGCGCCTGTAATCCTAGCTACTCAGGAGGCTGAGGCAGTAGAATCGCTTGAACCCGCGAGGTGGAAGTTGCAGCAAGCCGAGATCGTGCCACTGCACTCCAGTCTTGGCGACAGAGCAAGGCTCCATCTCAAAAAAAAAAAAAAGAATGCACAAGGCTTAGCACAGTGCTCAGCACACTGGGAGTTCTCAGTTCATGCCTACTGTGATGTGATGGTGACAATGACCACAATGACGATGACAATAAGGGTGGTGGAGGTGGTGGTGAAAGTGGGAAGTGGGGGAAATAAGAGATGTGGTAGAGGTCAGGGAGATAAGGGAGGTGAGGGAGTGGGAGGTGGGATGACGGTCATGGTGGCGGAGATGGGCGGTGGGGAGGTGGTGGTCATACAGACACGTTGTCATATTTATGTGATTCTGCATCATGCTGTGAAGAGCCACTCAGCCACTAGCCTGGTGAGGGGTGAGAGCTTACCCCAGGAGAACTGAGAAGAACCTGGCTGATCAGTTTTTCATTTTACTGCATAGCTAGTCCCTGTCACTTTGCAAGGAATGTAGTCACATCGGCAATCCCACAGTGACGAGTCTCTGCATATAATATAGAAGCCATTCTTTACCTTGAAAGAACCAGAGTTCCCTCAGGCATGGTGCCACTGGGCACCAAGGTGTCTTGCCAAATGTGGCATATCCACCACGTCTCCTTATCCTCACCACAGAGTGCTTCTGGAACACACGAGCAATGTGAGGCTCCTTCTCATACAAAGAGCTTCTATGCTACCAACCAGAAGAGGTGCTTGTCTCCAGGACCCTGTTCTCTGTCACCCAGCCCCCAGATACTTGTGTCAGGCATCTGTAAACTGGTTTCCCTAGAGGAGAAACCCTGAAGCCAAGAAAAAATCAAACAAGCTGCTTGGGGATCAACCTCAGAACCTCAACCTCAACAACACAGCATCCAAAGCCATGCCCCTATAGGGTGGAACACCTTAGGAGAATCTGTTTTGAGTATATAAATAAAATAAGCAAAACAACCAAAATCAGATGGGCTTGAAGTTCAAAAATCCATAAACTCTGACACCAGGCCTCATTCAGTTCTCTTTCTGGTTCTGAGAATGTCTGATACCTGGCAGGTAAGGAAGCTAAAGGAAGAGGAGGAAGAACATTTCTTTGTAACTCTTTGGTTTCCAGAATCTCATTCACATCTCCTACCTCCCCTGACCCATAGGCAGCACAGGGGGCTGAGACAGGAGGAAACTGAGGCAGCAGAGTTAATCCCAGTATGTGGCAGTCAGAGCCCACTTCCGTGTGCTGCAGGACGAGGCTACCATTTCCCAGTGATGATCTGGGGCAAGTTACACCAGCTCTGTACAGCTTGTCTCTCTAGGCCACTGAAAGTCCCAAAGCCAGAGACTCAGTGTGCTGCAAGCAAGAAGCAGCTTGACACAGACGTATTCTTTCTCCTCCTCCCATCTCAGCTGCTGGGAACTGGATCTAGGAGAGCAAAAGGCGAGGGAGCAGGAGACACCAAGGAGAACTTTGGCCATGCAGTTTCCATTCTCACGGGACTCTATTTTTCTGCATTGGAGCCTCCATTGGGGCCTACATTCTAATTTTTTCTCCTTATATTCCTTTCCCAAGGTATGATATCCTAGCAAAAAAAAAAAAAAAAAAAAAGGTCCCAGCCCTCATAAAAGACAAATTCATTCAGGTCCCTCCCTACCTAACACCAGCACATGGGCCATGAGCAGACCCCATCCAGACAGAGAACTTCCTTTTCTGGTCAAGAGGCCCTGGGATGCTAACCCAACACTGAGCAGCTCCTCCTGCTGATCCAATTCTCACCCTGGAGAAAGAGGACTTGGAAATAGGCATGGAGAGCACAGGATGGAGGTGGGCGGCACAGGAAGAGACAGAGGACACCAGGCAGGAGGATACTCACCGGGCATCGGTGCACCAGCCAGTATGCCTTCTCCTGGCAGTCCAGGGCATATCTGTCTGCTTTGTTCCTCTCCTTTCCAGCCCTGAAAAGCCAAAAGCCACATTTAAGGCCAGGAAGACTTTGTATCTTTTGATTAGTGATGCCCCCCATTCCTGATGACCTAGACCCCTCTCCCAACCTGCCCAAGTAATTCACATATACTGTAATAGTAATGAACACAGCAAGCACTGACATCATACTTAAGTACTAGCACCCTTCTAACCACTTTGACACATATTAACTCTTTTAATCCCACTTAATCCTCCCAGTGGCCTTTTCTCACTTCAAAGTTCGGGGCACTGAAACAAAGAGGGGGTGAATGCCCCACCAGCCCACCAGGGTCACACTGCCAGCAACTGGCAGAAGTGGCACTTGCATGTGGGAGTCTGGCCAGGGTCTAACCCCCCTGGACAGCACAGTGCTGCACTGAGATCACACTGCCGCCACAAGCCCTAAATCAAACCAACTCCACCAACATCAACATTGGAGCGCAGTGCACATAGGTGACCCTCTGGCATTTGACCTCCTGGCTTCTTAACTTTTCCCTGTTTGGGCCAACAACATAGTCAACGTCTGGACATCCCACCTGTGGGATGGTGACAAGGAAGATGCTGGCCTGGGGAGTCCTCTCTCCTCCCTGCCTGTGACTTCTACTCTGGCACTGCAAAGAGTTCATGCCACATCAGGGGTTTTTCTGAGCACACCTTATTGCTATAAAAGGCTATTTATGGCCCAGAGCTGTGGCTTATGCCTGTAATCACAGCACTTTCGGAGGCCAAGGCGGGCAGATCACTTGAGGTCAGGAGTTCGAGACCAGCCTGACCAACATGGTGAAACCCCGTCTCTACTGAAAATACAAAAATTTGCCTGGGCGTGGTGGCACATGTCTGTAATTCCAGCTACTGCTGAGGCAGGAGAATCATTTGAACCTGGGAGGCAGAGGTTGCAATGAGCCACGATTGTGCCACTGCACTCCAGCCTCGGCGACAAGAGCAAAACTCTGTCTCAAAAAAAAAAAAAAGAGCTGTTTATTTTCCTTTTTATCTCTCAGTCTCTCTCCCTTTCCCACTCTGGATGGGAAATGATGCAGGGCCTTCTTCCTCCAGGGGCAAAGTAACACTAATGATCCTGCCGTGGGCCCCCTTCTGTACCATTTCCACGGCGACCCGTGCTCACACTTGTTAATGCTTGTTTTCCCAGGCAACGTGGGATGACGCACATGCTCTCTGCTAGACAGAGTCGGCGGATTCATCTCCCCATTAACATACTGTGAAAAACATCATAACACTCAGGGAGCCAGATGGGTGAACAGCGCCATTTCATTTGAGCGTTCCGTCAGGCTCCTCTGGAAATTAAATATAAACACTGTCTTCAAACTTCCCCTTGACAGCCTAACTGGATTTTCTACCAGGTTAACTAGCCCCTGACCTCAGGAGCATGGGCCACAACTGGCCTGAGGCATTACAGAGTTTCCACAATGCTGGAAAGCTTGGCAAATAGAGTCACTCTCTGATTTACCCCATGGGTCCTTTCCGACTTTGCTCTTCTGCTTTTCTGTTACAGATGTTATTAGAGGACAGTTGTGATAAACAGAATGCAAGAGAGTTAGTAACCTAGGAATTACTTTCGTTTGTCATATTGTGATTTTTTCAGCAACAGCATCTGCTTAATTATTCATTCATTCGTTCGTTCGTTCATTCACGTATTCATTGATCTTCCACTAAGTTCCAAGCACGGGGAGTCTGCTGGTGAACCAAACATAGTCCCTGCCCTTGAGTAGCTTTTAAACTAAACATCATATACACAGTCAAAGAATCAATACAGAATTGCAAATTGCATTATGTGCCATAAGGAAACATTCAGGGTACCATCATGGAGCATCAGGGATGGCCTCTGTGGTGATTTTTAAATATGTCTATAATTCTTTGACACTCTTTCCATTGACAGATGTGGGTCTACGTCTCCTCCCCTTGAAGCCAGGTGGGATTTTGTGGTGGTTTCTGCCAACATGGGATGTCAGGCATGGCACTGTAATTTCTGAGGCTGGGCCATAAAAGGTGGGACAGCTGTCACCCTCCTTACTGGAATATGTGGTCTTGAAGTCCCCAAACACCTGTAAGCTATCTAACAACCCTCCCTGATGCAGCCATGTTGTGAGGGAGCTCAAGCTAGATCACAAAGAGATGCTACAAGAAGAGAGCAGGAAATGCCAGCCAGCCCCCAGTTGCTCCAGGACGCCAGCTCCAGCCATCTGCCAGCAACCACTCAAGAGACTCTGAGTCAGAATTGATCAGCCAAGACATTCCCAAATCCCTAACCTATAGAAATCAGGACACATAATAAAATAATTGTTGTTTTGAGCCACTGACTTTAGGATGATCTGAATGCAGCTAATCAGAAAAGCCTCTTTGTGGAAGTTACATTGGAAGTGAGTGTTCTCCCTGATAGCTAGAGAAAATGGAGTGAGGTGATCTTATTTGTGTTTCAAACACGGGGGCAAATTGGAAGCAGAGAGGCCAGTCGGGAGGATGTTGCCATGGTTCAGGTGATGGTGAAGGGGCAGTAGAGGTCCTGATATGGGTGATACTGGAGGAAGAAGTTTGGAGAGTGAGGGAAAGACATGTTCGAATATGGACAAGGTAAGTCTGAGGTTTGACAGTAATGTGAGATCTTGAGTAAGTAGCTGGATACTGAGTGTGGAACTTGGAAGATGGGACTCAGCATAACAAAACGACTACTTCATGGGCCAACCTATACGGTCAACCTCGTTTTGTGCTGAGACCCTAAATCTGAAATCAGAGGAGCCTTTAAGCCATAAAATTAGCAGGAAAAAGCCATCTCAAGTCGAGCAAGCCTTTCAGGAATCGCTCATTCCAAGGCACCTGGAAGAATGGAAGAGGGGAATGTCCCAGGATCTGGGCAGCACAGAGCTTTATCCCAGCTGAGGCCAAGGCCTTGGTGGTGGACCTGCAGGGATCACTGACAACAGCTCTGAGCTGCAAGAGCACCCAGAGCGCCCAGGAAAGCAGATATCAGGGTTCACAGTCCTGTGGGTTGCTGGGATCGTCCTGCTCAGAGCAGACAGGAGGAGGAGGGGATGGACGGGCTGAGGGAGAGGGGCACATCTTACCCATCTCTGTGTCCCTGGAGCCCAGCCTAGTGCTGGAACCCATCAGAAACTCAAAACTGGTGCAACAAATGGAATTAAGTAATATCAGCCCAAGTTCTACCATTATCTCAGCAAGTGACCTCAGCTAAGTAATTTTCACCTCCCTAAGCCTCAGTTTCCCCATTTGTAGAAATGCAGGGTGACAATAATTACTATGGTATTTCCCCACACCAACATAAAGTGAGACAGTACCCAAAAACTCACCACATGAAGCTTTATGAACAAATGTAAGTGATTAAAGATAACCCATGTTGTTTCGCCTCAAGCGTGCCCAGGTAAAAACATGTTTTGGCTAACAAGTAGTGGCAGCTCTCTCACTGATGTTCTACCTGATTCTAAACCCTAAGAACATATTTTCCACCATGCAGGGCAATAAACCTATTCTGCCATAAGAATCTATTTTTCCCGGACCAGCTGTCCCGTAAATAGTGTTCATCACTATTCCAATACCTAGGCTGCTAGGTGAGAATCAGGTCTTCCCCATCCAGCCCAGCTAAGCACCAGCAAGTCTAGACCTTCCTGGATCCAGGACTGTCACAGTGAGTGAGGTCGGACCAGGGGATCATCGCTTTTGGTAATCACTGGTGCGGGTCACCAGATGTTCCCAGCTGTCCCTCTTCTCAGGCACCTGGTAGGATTCTATGTCCCCACCCACCAACCTTTGAAGTTGACCTGCTTTGCCTTGTGACTCATGAGCAGGATGACAGTGCTGCTCTGATACACACAGGAAATCCCTGTCCCTGCTAAGCAACGCACAAAGCCCAGATGGTGCTGCTTCTTCTGCATGGGACCTGGAGGTGGGGAAAGCATGTCAGGGTCCCAGCTGCCCCATGGTGGATGGGGAGCACCAGCAAGAAATGGACCTTATGGTTTCCAGCCCCTGAGAGTCGGGGGCTGTTTGTTATGATAGCCTAACCTTGTCATGACAGACACCCTCTCCCTACCACTCCCTGTCCCCAATATCTGCATCCGGCTCTCGTTAAGGCAGAGCCCTGGAGGGGACTTCCAGTTCCAGTTCTGATATGGCAACAGGCAAACGCAAGTGAGCGAGGCGTGGTTCTGACACGCGAATCTGATCACTGTGTATCCCTCCCCTGCTTAAACATCATTCTATGGCTCCCTGTGGCCCTCAGCACAAAGCCCTCTCACGATCTGCTCTTGCTAACATCTCTAGTTCACATCCTGCTAACTTCTGCCAGTTCCACACTTTGCACTGTCAGATGCACCTGCAAGGAACTGCTTGCAGTGGGCACACTCCTGCCTCCAGGCTCTGGTTCTGCCTGCTGGGAGCCCCTTCCTGCCACCACACCTCTCCTCTTCCTCCACAACTGCCATCCTTCACCTGGACCCCTCCTATGCATTCCCCGGGTTCAATGTCATTTCTACGACTCCTTCTGAAAACCCCAGCCAGGCGGTCCTCATCTCGCAGCAGCACCATAGCCTATTCCTTCATCTGCCTGACCTGTGAGACTGTGTCTTTTTATTCCCCCTGCCCAGCCCGGTGTTAGGCACACAAATGCTCAAAAACAAGTTTATTTTAATAAAAGGAAAGAGTCCAGGTGCAGCGGTTCACGCCTGTAATCCCAGCACTTCTGGAGACTGAGGCAGGCCGATCATGAGGTCAGGACTTCGAGACCAGCCTAGCCAACATGGTGAAACCCCATCTCTACTAAAAATACAAAGAATAATAATAATAATAATAAACAAAAATTAGCTGGGCATGGTGGTGGGCGCCTGTAATCTCAGCTACTTGGGAGGCAAGGGAGAAGAACCACTTGAACCCAGGAGGCGGAGGTTGCAGTGAGCCGAGATCACGCCACTGCACTCCAGGCTGGGCAACAGAGCAAGATTCTGTCTCAAAAAATAAATAAATAAAAAATAAAATAAAATAAATAAAAAGAAACAAAGAAGGAAGAGAGGGAGGAAAGACACCAAGAGGACAAGCATGGTCTCCTTTCACTCACCTGTACTGCTCTTTGGCCTGCATAATGACAAAGTCCCACTTATAGTTCATTTTTTGGTTCAAGAAATTGTAATTTTCCTGGAGAAGAAAAACAAAATGAGAACAGTAAGCCCCAAGACATATGCCATGTGCCACAGGGCAACAAACTCTAAGTTAACAAGGGCACACCCCTGGCTCATGGCAACCATGGACCCAGCCTGATGGTGTCTGAGCTGGTTTTACCCTGGTGTTCACTCAAAGAGCAGCTGAATTCTCAAAACGCTTTCATAAGAAGCCTCACTTTTATTGCTTTTTTTCGCTTTTGTAAAAATAAATGTATCCCGGCCGGGCGCGGTGGCTCACGCCTGTAATCCCAGCACTTTGGGAGGCCAAGGTAGGCAGATCACAAGGTCAGGAGATTGAGACCAACCTGGCTAACATGGTGAAACCCGGTCTCTACTAAAAAGAATACAAAAAATTAGCCGGGCATAGTGGCGGGCACCCGTAGTCCCAACTACTTGGGAGGCGGAGGCAGGAGAATGGCGTGAACCCAGGAGGCAGAGCTTGCAGTGAGCCAAGATCACGCCACTGGACTCCAGCCTGGGTGACAGAGTGAGACTCTGTCTCAAATAAATAAATAAATAAATATATCCCAAATCTGATTAGGAAGAAAGCATCAAAGAAGAAAAAGAATTTGAAAATCATTTTTTTTTTTCTGAGACAGGGTCTTACTCTGTTGCCCAGGCTGGAGTGCAGTAGCACAATCATAGCTCACTGCAACCTCAAAGTGCTGGGCTCAAGCCATTCTCCTGCCTCAGTAGCTAGGACTACCTGTGCATGCCACCACACCTGGCTAATTTTTTAACCTTTCGTAGAGATAGGGTCTCACTATGTTGCCAGGCTGGTCTTGAACTCCTGGCCTCAAGTGATCCCCCCATCTTGGCCTCCCAAAATGCTGGGATTACAGGCGTGAGCCACCACACCCAACCTGGAAACTCACTATTCAGCAACAGACCATCACAAATTCACAAAAATAAACCCTAAGATAAACCAAAGATAAGCCGGCCTTTCTGAAAACATGCCTGTAAGAATAAAAATACATGGCCTAACATGGTGGCTCACTCCTGTAATCCCAGCACTTCGGGAGGCTGAGGTAGGCGGATCACTTGAGCCCAGGAATTTGAGACTAGCCTGGGCCCCCCGTCTCTACAAAAAAATATGAAAATTAGCTGGGTGTGGTGGTGTGCCCCTGTAGTCCTAGCTGCTAGGGAGGCTGAGGCTTGAGCCCAGGAGACAGAAGTTGCAGTGAGCCGAGACTGCACCACTACATAACCCACCACTATAGCCTGGGTTATGGAGCAAGATGTTGTCACAAAAATAAATAAATAAATAAATAAATAAATAAAAGAACACAGCAAGATTTTCACCCTCTGCCCAGAAATTCTAGCCTTTTGAGGGCTAGCATATGTTCTTTGGGAAATTGGACTCACTCAGCCTAAAACAAAAGTCTATACAGTACTATTGTTTTCCCATCATAAATTGAAGTTCGGGCCAGGCACGATGGCTCACGCCTGTAATCCCAGCACTTTGAGAGGCCAAGGCAGGCAGATCACTTGAGGACAGAAGTTCGAGACTAGCCTGGCCAACACAGTGAAACCACATCTCTATTAAAAATACAAAAATTAGCCAGGCGTGGTGGCACATGCCTGTAATCCCAGCTACTCGGGAGGCTAAGGCAGGAGAATCGCTTAAACCCGGGAGGTGGAGGTTGCAATGAGCTGAGATCATGCCACTGTACTTTAGCCTGGGCAACAGAACAAGACTTCGTCTTAAAAAAAAAAAAAAAAAAAAAAAAAAAAATTCAAGTTCAAATCTGTTAACCAAGGGTTGTCCATTAGAGTACATATTAATTATGTCACATTGTTTTGGGATGGCAAAAGGAAGCGGGGAGCCACCGTGTGCCCAGTAGCCACTGAGGCAAGGGCTTAAATTACAGCAAGAGAAACTAAAGTTAGACATGGGAAAGAATTTACTTCAGTTAGCTGCTTCTAATTAGTAAAAGGATGGCTAGCTGGCTGGCTGGATGGATGGATCATGAGAGTGCATATGAATGTAGTGATGTGAGAATGAGGAAAGTATAGCTCAAAACTATATTCCACTCAATTATAATAACCTCTACTTAAAAGCACCTCCATACCTTTTCATATTCTTCCAAAATTCCTTTCTTCTTGATATTTCTCTTGGCCAGATAGATAGCTGGAAAAGAAAGCAATGACATTTTCCATCATCATCTTTCAGAACCCCATCTGCAGCCTCCCTGAGCCTGAGGCTGCTGTGCTCAGAGTTGGGGAGAGAATGCTCAGTACACCCAGTCCCTTGCCCCTGGGGACATGCCCCGTGCAGATGCGGACTGACATAAAGGTCATGATGACAGCAAGACAAATGTCACCAAAATGCAGCAAGTAAATAAGCAGCATGTTAAGCACTACCAAAGGCATAGTTGGGACTGAAGTATTTACCGTAATCGGTATCTTCAGCTGGCCACTGCTGGGTGGGCCAGAAATACGGTGTCTGCAAAAGAAACCAGGGAAATCACACTTTAAAACTGGATTGTGACTCAATGGACCCCAACTCTGTGACTAAAGAAATCGAACCACCTTAGCCCCCTCCACCATTTCTGAAGTCCTGATCTGTGAAACTATGAACCCGACCTTTACAAATGAGATCTTTTCAAATGAGATCAACCCTATATGAACAGCCAAGGTCAAGGCCAAGACTCACCTGAAATCGGTAGAGGCTGCCATCAGGCTTGAGAACGAGATTCTTGGGGTCTTGCAGGGGGTAAATATAGCCATACCTGACAATAAAGTTGCCCAAGTTCTGTGCCTCTGGGAAAAGCAGTTCAGACACGGATGTTAAGAGCAGGTCTGAGACAGGAGCTCATTGCCAGCCCCCACAGCACCCCAAACTCCAGGACAGGTGCCCCCTCCTAGCAGCACTGCATCTCATAAGCAGTGAGGACACTGGTTCCTGAACTTGGCTGTGGACAAGCATCAGTTGGGTTGCACGCTAAAAGGAGGACCTCCCAGGTCCTATCCTCAGGAATGACAACTCAGTAAGTCTGGATGGGAACTAGGAAACCTGGATGTTAACAGAACCCACAGGTGGTCTGCTGCAGCGGATGATGGTTAAGGAAGGCCTAGAGAAGCCTCTGTAGGCCCACTGAGTCTGGGAAAGGTCACAGGACTGGGAAGAAAATGTCTCTGTTGGACCAACGGACACTTTGTCACTCAAAGAATGAGCGAGGAGCACCATGTTTATTGCCAACTTCTATCCCAAGCTCACCTCTACCTGATCCCAGGTCCTCTCCTTCCCATTTCACTTTAATTCCTACCCTGCTCCAGTTTATTTGGAAGCACAGCCTTGTTTATCAATTATATCAATTAAAGGACAAACTTCTTTGGTTCTTTCTCCAAAGCACCAATGAAAGCAGATGTCTTTCCATCCTCTGGAGGGGATTCCATCCCTCCATTCCTGCAGGAACCCCCAGTCCAAGGACTCAACCCATCTCCCCATCCCATAGCTCAGCCTCCAAGGTGTGGGAAGACCTCCTCCCCAACCCTCCCTCTCCAGGTCTCGCTCCCTCCGTCAAAGACCGAGTCCTAAAGTTGTATGCCTCATTGTACCAACAGCCTATTTTCTAGTGTGAAATCCCCTCCAGTTTCTTTTTTTTTATTATTATTATTTATTTATTTATTTATTTATTTATTTATTATTATTATTATACTGTAAGTTGTAGGGTACACCCCTCCAGTTTCTTTCTGCTCCAATCCATCTTCTAAATTGCTGCCAGGCACCCTAGTTGAAATACGAGTATCTTGCACACTGCCATGCTGGAAAATTGTCTGTGGCTACCTATTGCCTATCTCCCAGATCTTCAGGTGCTCTTCCACCCCTCTGCCACCCTCCATAGCCATCTGGAGCCATGACTCTCAATCTCTCTTGTCGCGCCTCCACTTTCCGCTCATTCCATTTCTACACCATTGTTCTTGCTAGTGTCCCCTTATAGGAAGACCCTCAGAGCTCCTCTTCACCAATTCACAAGCATCACTTCTTTCAAGACCAGCTACACACAGCACCCCCTCCGGGACTTTCTTGACTGAGTCCTCCCCACTTATCCCTGTTATTTATGCTCTAAATATTTGGTATAAAATAACTCTTTTGTCCCCAAATTATCCTGCCTTTGCTTTTGATTCTGACAGTTTTACACTCGAAGGTCATGACCCTCCAATTAAAATGCAAATTTCTCAGAAACACAGGCTAAGTCTCTATTTAGTTTCTCCCATGGTGCTGTACACACAGCTGTCCTGGATAACTGACTACCAGATGAGCTCTCACCCAGATTGGAGATCCAAAGCCGCTGGACGATCCATTGCAGAACATCACTTCCTGCAAAACAGAGACGTTTGCGATTATCATCATAGCCTCCTGACATATCCCTGCTCCTCCACGCTGTTGCCTGACTGGTCTCCTTCCTGTTCAGCTGCAGTTTCATTCCTCTTTGCTCAGAACCTTCGGAAACCCCCATCCCATCATGTTCAGTCCCAACTCTGCAGCCTGTAATTCAAGGCTATCCATGATCTCACTCCAGCAGATGTGCAACTTAACACCGCACCGCCTGGCCCGGCCCCCGCCCACATACACTTCATCTTTATCGTCTCTTATCGTATTGACCTTTTACTTGACAGTAACTTGTGCATGGACTAGTATTCACTAACTAGATAGTAAATAGACTAAGTCTAAACACACACACACACACACACACACACACAAAGCAGACCCAAGGCAAGTCATTTGCAGGGCTCTGGACCAAGCTAGGACTCATGGGAGTAAAACACACCCAGGGATGGGAAGAGGACAGGCTGGGGGCTGGGGCTGGCTCTCCATCTCCCCAAGTTCCCAGGCAGAACTCCGACGAGTCAGAAAATTCTAAACTTGAACCTGGCCTTCCATGACGTTGTGAAGGTACTTTTGTCAGAGTAGGAAGATGGGACCTATCCTAGTTGATTTATAACTTTAGATGATGGAATGAAGGCTCCATGTGTACCCCCGCCCCAGGCCTGGCATATCTTAGGGGCTGGCTTGGAAACAACACACACACGCCAAAAAAAAAAAAAATGTGAAAAACTGGCATGAAAAACAGCAGGAGATACAGGCTTGGAGGCCAGGAGAGAATGTCAGCAGGAGATGCAGGCTTGGAGGCAGGTGAGAATGTGCAACCGTGCACCTGTCCCACCCACCCGCTCCCCTCAAGGATTCAGATCTGTCTAAGGGTCAAGGCAAGCCAAGTTCCATCAACAAGCCCAGAGGTGCCATACACCCCCACAGAAGCTCTGAGTCCCTTTCCTCAGCCTGGGCCCTCTGGCCTCACAAGCAGAAGGTACGCCTTCTAGGCACAAGGTAAGAGCATCTCAGAAGATAGACAAGGTGCCCTGGAACGAAGCACCCCATCACAGAGGCCATCATGCAGACGCCAGTGGTCACATTTCCAGCAATCCTAGCCTGCTTTCCAAAGGCTAAGCTGGAAACCTGTCTGCATGGGAACAGGCTCACAAAACACACCAAAGAAGAGGGCCAGGATTGAGACCCCACTGCCTGTGTTTTTATGTCTGGATAATTGCCAATGATACTTCCCTCCTCGGAGGTGGTGCAGGGACATTTCTTCTTATGACCCACATACACACTCTCTGGGCATAATTGCCTGCCTATGACCATGACTGGGTACAGACAACCTGCAGTTCTTCCCTTCATGCCCACACGCTAGGACACAAATGTCCAGCCATGATCTCTGTCAGTGTCCGCATGCACACCATCGTGGCTTTCCATGGTTCTACTTCTGTTGTTCTTAGCATCATTCACTCCTGGTTGGCTGTTCAAAAGCAAAATCCTTCATCTAAACTCCTACTTAAAATCCTAGGACTAGATGTTTAGACTTTCCACACCAAGTCTCTCTCTTTAAATGCTACACAGTGTTGCGCAGGCAGAGAGACAGACCCAGGCAGACATCAGACTGATTAGCTCTCTCCACCGAGGAGCTGAGGGCTTTCTCATCCACTTGACTGCCTCCCGAAATAGATCAAATGAGATTATGGTGCCACCAGCCTCTGTACCACGCAGTCTGTGCTGACAGCATGGCAGACTGCTCAGGCTCCCCCATCAGTCACCTTTGTCCCGAGGAAGCCCTGGGACGCCTGCCGTCCAAGAAGTTAAATAATTTGTTTTTATCGGTGCT